ATGTGGTAAGATCTCATTAGATTTGTTCCAATCTCTGAATATTTTTATCATCACCTTCCTCCGAGCATTCCAACACTTGTTGTATGATACATCCAAATTAGTCGCTTTATGCACTAAAATATGAATATCCTTTGGCCTTAGATCAAGATCCTCCTTTAGTTTAGGTATAATTAATCGATATATGAAAGACGCGTGTTTATGATTCATCTCTAATCGATGATTGCTATATGTGTGAAGTCCATTATTGTGTGTTATTTTAAATTATCCGCCTACTCTTACCCTAGGCGTGAATTAAACCTCCAAGGATATTTTGTATTTTCGTCGTGGTGACCACCACTATCTTCTTCCTCACCATCTTTGCAGTAAAAACATACTACATTATAGCTTATTGTATTGCTTTTTGTCTGTCTAAACTTTAACATTATTTTTGATGGCCCACAAACGAAGGACATGGATCAATTTCTCCTTGCTTTCAAATAGATCGCACTTTTTGAATAAAAAGTTTTCGCCTTGTGTATCATATTTAAGTTAGTGCCAATAGGAATATTTTCCAGTATGGAGTCATCAATCCATCCCTCTCCATGAAGTTCATCGGGCGGCGGATCCTCTAATACGACATACTCATTGTTAGAATAACATCGGTCAATTAATTGGTTGTCCCCTTCATCACGATCTATCAAACATGTCATGCTATTAATTTGTAAGCTATCATTTTCTTCATCATTCTCAGATTCGACATTTGCATTATCATCTTCTATCGTCACTCCTGTGGAAGATATTATATCTTAATTGGGAGCATTATCATCGAAAGCATTTGAAGTGCCCACAAGCGAAGTACCGCTCAAGTGTTGTGACTGTGTCCATCCTATATCTTATTGCAGAGACAAAAAACCGGTGGAGTCAACTTCAAGATCCTCCAACATGTGAGAGTATACTCCATCGTGATTTACCGATTTGTCCAAATTTGTGTGATGCTTTTCAATAAATAATTTCACTAAACGCTTCTTGTCATACAATATTCCAATGAGACTCATATCATAGTCACTTGAGATTTGAATGTCGCTTGTTCTATTCCCTATAACAGGATAATTGAAAATCACGTTAAGGTGATACTCACGTGGATTGGTTAATGTAAGTTTGTGTAAGTCATTAACCAATCCATTGAAAGTACATGATTTGGATATAAACAACAGTTTCGTCACACCTCCTTCATATACATGCATATTATTCTCGAGATAGTTAATCTTTCCATCATATTAACAAAGAATTACGATTCAATCGTTCATCGTTACCTCTGAAGAGTAAAAAAATTTTAATATCAATATTACACGAAAAACACAAAAATATTATTTACAATTAAATCCCCGAATATCAATTTTACACATCCATAACTTTTACCATAGGTCAAACCTTTATATTTTGATGATTGCCTAATTTAAATAATTTAAACAATATTCAATTTTAAAGGTTGAAAAATAATACACTAATTTTTATAACTTTCCCTAATTTCCCCTCCTAACTTCATATACAAATTTCTTTATTTTTTCTTCACAAAATTCATAAATATTTCAAAATTATTCCAAAATCTAAGCTTAAATAAGTTGTTATGATGAAATAGTGAGAATATGTAAAAATTTAGGAGAATATATAAAATTTGATATCCAGCAAGCTCCGGTGAACTCCGGCGCTTTTTAGCCCTAAAAAAGGTTGGCAATGGCAGCAGCGGTGGGGGTGAAGACAGTCGGTGACAGTAGCGGTGGGGGCGGCGGTAGGAGATGATCTAGGGTTTGGAGGTAAATGAATAAAGAGAGAGAGTACAGGAGGCGAGAGAGAGAGAGAGAACGGGGAATGAGATCACGTGAGAGGGGAGAGATAAATAATGACATGGGTAAGTGGGGCCTACACAGACTTCACAGGATTTGTAATCCCGTGAAGTTGCAGGCCCATTTGCCAAACAGCTCGTGAGCGCTGCTGGGGGTGAAGACAGTCGGTGACAGTAGCGGTGGGGGCGGCGGTAGGAGATGATCTAGGGTTTGGAGGTAAATGAATAAAGAGAGAGAGTACAGGAGGCGAGAGAGAGAGAGAGAGAACGGGGAATGAGATCACGTGAGAGGGGAGAGATAAATAATGACATGGGTAAGTGGGGCCTACACAGACTTCACGGGATTTGAAATCCCGTGAAGTTGCAGGCCCATTTGCCAAACAGCTCGTGAGCTTTCTGGAAGTTGCACCCTGCAGCTTCACGGGAGTTGAAATCTGTGAAGTTATGACCAAACTTCACGGGATTTCAAATCCTATGAAGGAAGGTGCTTTCTCATTTGTTTGGCTAATCAATCACTAAACTTCACGGGATTTTAAATCCCGTGAAGTTTTCGAACTTTATTTACCATATTCGACACAGTTTCAGATGGGTCGTTTTTTTAAAATAAATTCCTAATGGGGCCTATTTTGAAAATTTGTACGCAGTTTAAATCTTTTACACACTATAAGATTGACTGAGGTACTTGTTATTATAATCCCTTTTTTGCGGTGTATTGATGGAGGTTCTGTTTCTATACTGAAGCAAATATGCATCAAGTTATCCAAAAATCTGATAGCATCTGTCATGTTAGACGACTGAAAAAGTCAAGTTTCTTTATGTGTATCTCCTAAGCCTTGTATGCTCTTTATGTACTAGCCAATTCACACAAATGGTGAAAGTTGGGAGGCTATCTCCAAAATGGCTTCATTACCAACTTGCTGCTGCTTTTTTCCAAAAGTGATTAACATAATGGAATATGAAACAGAAGGACTTCTTGTAAGTAAAGGAATGAGAAGGAGAACAGTTCAACTCTTTTTTGAAAGAACAAGCTCCAACAGCATTAGATATGTGCAAGCCTGAACAATTCTTTATTCCTCTCATAGCCATGTCCAAGATGTGTTGGAGACTGACCTCGAAAGGCATGGATGGACAACAAATTGGACGCACTCAGCTATGTCCATGCGAAAACTTAAAGTTCCCTGTGTAGGATGTAAGGTGGAGACTACTTCACTAATTGGTTTAAGGAAATGAAATTGGTATGGACTGAAACCATTTACCTAATAGCTAATATTTAAAAAAGACATCAAGTTTCATATCCGATGTCATCTCTTTCTTGAGCTCCATATGCGAAGCATACTCAACAAGCTCCCACATTAACGAGACTGATCCCTCATCATCGGCCATCAATAACTCCAGGAAAATTTGGGTTATGGGAATTAAATTTGTATGAACCGAAACCATTTACCCAATACTAATAGCTAAAAAGGACATTGAATTTTCATATTTTATGTCGTCCCTTTCTTGAGTTCCATATGTGAAGCATACTCAACAAGCTCCCTCATTAAGGAGACTGATCGCTCATCATCGGCCATCAATAAAAAAAGGAAAAATTTACTGTGACTCTTGGGAGAAAACTAGTTATCCTAAACTTTTGTTAATTAACTGATTATATGTTTGTAGTCATTGTTTGATAAGTGGTGGGTATATTTTGATAACAAATTGCAGATCACCATCACCAAATCAACCTTGTCATATTCAATGCTATACTGCTGATTGTATCAAGGCAATTTTCTTTCCTGTCAATCAGGCTTTAATATCCTAATATTTTCAAGGTTGGGGTTGGAACTGACCTGGATGGAGAGGGATGAATTAGATACTGTTATTTTTCATGAGAAATGAATGGAATGAAATAGTATGGAGATTGTAGGTACTGAACAGTTACCCTACGAGATATTGGCAAAGGTTGATTTGAATAAAGATAGAGATGCGGTTCAACAATTTGTTGCTTATTCTACTATTCTTTTTATTCATGTATCTTCAGATGATGTTATGTTTTGGACTTTATTTGACTTAATTATGTTAGGCTTTGTCAGATGGTAGATCTGAGTTAGGAGTTTTCTTGGTATAAGAAACTAATCACTTGTCACCCCACCACCTCCCCCCCAAAAAAAACTCCCCCAATGAAAATGAATGAATTATTGCTGAAGAAAATTGTGTGTTTTCCCTCTAGGTTTCGCTTCTAGGTTGCCTTATTATCTATTCTCTGCTATTTGGCTTTCGTTGGAATTTCTCTTTTTTCTCTCCTCTCTTGTTTTATTTCTCTCTAGTTTTAGGCATCCGTTAATAGGACGCCTAGAAGAAGGATATTATAGTAGAGGTTAAGAAGGAAAGGGGTACAGCCATTACATGTGGTTAGCAGTCTCCAACCATTTTCAAGATGGGATAGAAACTGTGTTTTCATTCTAAACCTTCATATTCTTCTGTATGTAGGTCCTGTGCCCACAGCAATATACAATTCGTCGAGTGAATGCTTTGCTAAATAAGCTGAACACCTGCATCACCAATTACCTTTACTTCCAGAGTGATATCTAAACTGCAGTATTTAGTTTATCTCCCTTATGCTCTTATTAGGATTTAATCTGTCTTGTTTTGAAATTTGGAACCCCATTATATGTACTAAGCTGCAGTCAACACAATTCACCTCTGAAAACCATTGGAACTCAGCATCTTGGCTAAATGGATTACAAACTAAAGGAACCCTTAATGACATTATCAAACCACCCATGTTGTCAGCTGAGCATTTGTCATAATCTCCAACAAGCATATCTATTACAGTTCACCTTGGAGTGAGATACTTGAACGTGATTATTTCATCATTTGCAATGCAATTAATGATGTAGCGCCTGGTTAATTTCTCCTTAGCATTGTTGTCTGTTTTGTTGATTTCTGAATGTCCAGGCAAGTTCTTGTCTCTAGATATCCAATTCACTCATTTTGTGAAAGCTTCCCCCACTACTCAAAATCAATTTAACTGTTGTAGCTTTATCAGCCACAGGCAGCCCTTGTTCTCTTCCTTTATTTTCTTCTCTCACACAAACAATCCGAACCGACAGTGTTTACACTTTCACTCATATGAAGTTTCAGCATTTGTATATTGATTACTAACTGGTCGGTTACTCACTGGCTACTGTTCTTTCAGGTGGAAGTCAAAGAAGGATTTTGTTTTTTCTAGGCAATGGTTTCATGGGCAAGATGGTTCATATAGTAAGTATATATCTAACTGTGAACAAATGGCAAATGAATTCTTCCAAATACTGTTGCTTATGACTGAGTTATACATTTGGGGTTTGATTTACATTGTAACAGAGTTACGAACAATAGACTAGATGAATAGTCGCCTAGTTTTCTGGATGACTTTTTGCCTATCCACACACTTCAGAGTAACAAAATTGCAGAGGAAATTGAATCTTTCTGAAGAATCATTATCGCATTTGTGATAGCAGTTAAAAACATATCCTATTCATCTATATTTTCACAGTGGACTATACTTTTCACTTTTTTGCAGCCATTTTACTGTCTCCGGCTGTCCATAAAAAACGGCCTCATAGATCTGGTTATCAGAGGACAAAAGTTAACTGTGAGTTTTTTCCTGTATTATTTATGATTCAATATGAAAGTTATTTTCATTTATGCCTAATAAATGTTGAGCATCTGTATTATAAGAGGATTTTTCTTTCATTTACGATGGCTAGTCATATTCAGATTTTGTATAAAATTTCTCCATATGCACAAGTTATATCCCTGATATTCGTACATAGTCTTTTCATTTGCAGCTACTGCAGATTTTTTATATGTATGAAATCACTTGTGAATTTTATGCATCGGATATTGTGAATATATATAATTGATATGAGTGAAGTGGTGCTTCCCATTTCTATTCTTCCTTTATCATTTGTGTGACAAAGTGATAAAATGGCTTAAGCTAATAGGCTCTGCTCAATTAATTGTGAATATTATGCATCCAGGGCTGTCAAATAAAATTTCGCATTCAGTATTATCTTAATCTTGGCTTCCTAAATTAACAAACGGGCCAAATTTGAGCTAGGCCTGCTCGTGCATGTTCTAAATCTTATAGGAGGATTTTCTTTCGTATTGAACGGTGATCATGTTGATCCTTCATTTACCTGTTCAGAAAGCAGGTAGTTTTCCATATCAATAAAAGAATGATGCTTTCTATAGCATTTTATCACCTACTTTTGAAATTTCGTATTGATTTCCATATCAGTAGGATGATGATGTTTCCACTATATGATTCCTGTTAAGAAGCTTGCTGTATAATTTCACTGTAAAAGATTTGAACTGGTTAAAGTCAGCTTTTGACTTATTTGCTGATATAAGTTACACTGCTGCCACTGTACATTTTTACTACTTGGCTAGATTTCTGTATCACTTGATCCTTTTCTCGAGAAAATGTTCTAGAATGGTTGAAATGATTATAGAAATCTGGTTCTTAAACTGCTATCAGCCTCAATCTGGGAACTCAAACAGATGAATACACCAGACTACCAGAGTCTTCATCTTCAAAATGCCTTGTGACACAGACATTGGAAGTTAATTTGAGTACTTGGAATAGATTTAAGGGGGACATCGGCTCAAAATTTGAAAAGACCATCCCTTATGCTTTGTTGTGCGTTAAGAAGCTTGCTGAATATTTCCACTGTAAAACAGATCTGAACAGTTTAATGTCAGCTTTTGACTTATTTGCTGATATAAGTTACACTGCTGCAACTAATTATGTGATAGAAGTAGATGCTATTATAGTTTGTTTGTCTAATTATGCCACTGTACATTTTACTACTTGGTAGATTTCCGTATCACTTGATCCTTTTCTCGAGCAAATGTTTTGGAATGGTTGAAATGATTATAGAAATTTGGTTCTTAAACTGCTGAAACTTGCAGCCTCAATCTGGGAACTCAAACAGCTGAATACGCCAGAGTCTTCATCTTCAAAATGCCTTGTGACACAGACATTGGAAGTTAATTCGAGTATTTGGAATAGATTTAAGGGGGACATTGGCTCCAAATTTGAAAAGACCATCCCTTATGCTTTGTTGTGCCAAGTCGCAGGTATATTACTCTTTCTTCCTTTTTGGATAGAAGGTCGATGAATCCTAAGATCTCTAGTGTTTCACAGTTACATACCCTATACTGTTTCTTGATATCTTACTTGCGTCAAATAACCAATTTATCATTCATCCTCAGATTCTTTTTAGCCTGTAGAAAAATCATCAGTTTATAATAAAGCATATAGCTGAGAATCTCTTCATCAGAAACCAGTTCGCACCAAATGTCTCTACCTACTTTTCTACTTCTAAAGTATTTTTCCTGTTTGAGCTTCCAGGGTTAAAACAGTATTTGGAAGCAAATCCTTCCTTTGCATCTGATTCTCCCTCCACATATGTCCATTCAAATTACTCTGGTGCTTCGATTGATGATGCTGATTTTGAAGATTATGATCTGAATGATGACTTCTATGATGCACTTGCTAAAGTTGACTCTCTGGAAGATGAAGACAGTGATGATGACAACAACGATGTTGAGAACAAGGTAATGTCGTCAGAAACAATTCTGGTGTCCATTGTTTATATGTGCTGGGTTTAGCGTCTTTGTCTTTTAGGATCTTGACGACCAAGTAAAATGTGCAGCTGAGCATATATCTTATTTAACTAGCGTAAAATGTCAGGCAGGAAGAGTGAAGCTGAAGAATATTGCATGGGCCATTGCGGGCTTGGGTCTAAAGAGAAGTGCAGGTATCCTCTGTTACAAGAACCTACTAGCTTACTTTTTTTTACTAAGATGCTTTGATTGAAATCAATATATATTTAAACATATTATCTAGATAGGATAAACGTACTGTGTACTGCAATTGATTTGTCTAGATAGCAGTTACGTCCTAGCTGTTGAGTATGATGACTCACTTCTCCATATTTCTCTGTCAGCATGACCTTTCTGAATCAGTGTATATAATGTAGTCAAGATGTACTTGCATTATGTATATCACCACGATGTTCATGAATATGACATCGGGGTGCGTATATTTCATGTATGCATGTGAGTCTTTTTTTTTTTTTTGGGTTGGTTGGGGTTGTTCGGAGAGAGGGAATGATCAACAAGAAACCTTAAACAAGGCAATACTCTTGATTGGAACTTCTCAGGATGTGTGTCTTACAGTCCTACTGTTAACTTCATTCAGCTCTTCACCTAGCCTAACCCTTCATGTAACTGTCATGTTGAATACTAGGGAAGGAGGGTGCTTTATTCCACAAAACTGTTAATGTCCTGGCCTAAACGTGAAGTTGGTGGATGAATTTTAATTTTGAGTTCCGACACTCATCTCTTATGGCTTAAATTTAAAGAGTAGCAATTAACATGATTGAAATTAAAGAAGAAAGGATTTTCTTATCAGTTTGTGTTATAAGATTGTAGATTAACAAGAAACACAAAAAATTGGGAAGTTTATCCCAAGTCAAGTTTGTAGTTCCCAGCATCGAGTAACTGTCATGTGACTCATGTGCAATATTTGAGCATAAAATGACCTAAACTACAAATTAAAATATTATAGAGTCGAGCAAAAAAATTTGGGAAGCTTTCCACGAAACTGTTTATCTCCTAGCCTAAACTTGATGTTGGTGGATGAGTTTTAATTTTGAGTTCTGACAATTATCTTTTATGCCTTAAATTTGAAGAGTGGCAATTACAGATTATGACATGAATGAAGTTAAAGAAGAAAGGGATTTTTATATATTTATTTTATAAGATTGTAGATCACCTAGTTCAAGACTCTTCCAGTTTACATTCTCAATGCACTTCTTGCAGCTCTAGTTTTGTTGTATAACAAGTCTTCAATTTCTCTCGTGTTTGATTTCTTGATAAACATAGTTCTTTGAAAAAGATAGTTATTTATGGATGCAGGAGCACTAGAGCGTAGTGAACTAGATATGCATATTCCTTCTATTTGCATTGATCCGAGTCAAGTTCGTAGTTCCCTGCATCGAGCGAATGGTGAAAATGACACCAATTGCTGGACTACACCAACTGGACGAGGTTTTATGATAAGAGGAAAGAACTATTTGAAAGATAACTGTAAGGTAGTATATTCTCATTTCTACATCCTTCCAACCTGATTCAATGTACTACGGTAATTGATGATATTGATCTGTACCAGTAATTATATGCTTATATTACATAATTATACTGTACATGATGATCTGTTAATTACAGGATTTAGACCTGATGATGCGCTTTTCTTGCATTGATTTTCTTCATCTATATTTTTTAATGATATGAAGTTATGCTTTACCAAACAAGTGGATAATTTTGTTTTGTAATTATTTTGTGCATTATTATCATCATCATCATCATCATCATTCATTTATCTAGTTGGTATCTCTGTATTTTAAATGGTGCATATAATCATTTTTCTTATAAATCAAATCCATGAGAAGACTGCAGACTGGGTTCTTTTATACTAGGGATGCATAATTTTGGATTATTCTCACCTTGGCTTGTATATGTGGATGTGTATTTGATTCTACGACTTAGCTAATATGCTTAAAACACAAGTTCTATGTACATACTTTGAAATGGTTTAATTTAGTAAGATTTCAAAATTCCAGCTGATGATTGCATTTCCAGTTTTCAGCATCTGAAATATAGCACCTAAGAGGTTGGCAATGATATATAATAATAAGGCCTTTGGGCCTACTTATAGGAAGTTCAATAGCTAAAGATTTACCATGTTATGATCTTGCCACATCGGTGCTACTGATGACTAAATAGCCTTCTTTTTTAGTAACAAATTATGGGTATTTTAATCAACTCATTCATTTTTCCTTTTTCTCATAATTTTTTTACTACAGAGGTGACGTTCTGCTATAGTTTTTCAAGGTGCCAGAAAAACTCTCTTTTTAAATGTGATGCTTTAGCACTTGCTTCTAGCTGCTACTTAATTAATTAATTAATTTATTTTTTGTTATTAGACAACTTGCTACTCGCTTTTTTTTTGTTATTTGAAAACTTTTTCTGTAGGCGGCACTTCAATCCCTTTTCTGTACCAAATGTTGTAGTGGCACTTTCAACATTTATATTGTGCGTACTATCAAGAAAAAAGGAACATTTATGTCATATAATACAGAAATGCAACTGTGAGTAAACTAAAATTTCTTGTTGCACTATATGCAAACATCTGTTAAAGAGCATCATAAGGCATCGACAATAAATTCAAGTCCTTAGTACTAGCCTGTGCTACTAAAAAGTATATTTTTATTTCAACTTGAGTCTATGATATCTTTCTAAATTGTGATAAATCACTCTTTTTCTAGTTTATTAATGAGTCATTTAGCATTCTCAGGGTAAAGCAGGTGAGATACTCTTTGCATGGGCTTAAGGAAGTAAGGAACAGTTATTGGACCACACTTTTTACAGGATGAAGGAAGAAATAGAAAGGAGGGAAAAATGCAATGTTAGCATAAATGAGAAAGTAGGGTTAACATTTTGATTATGTATAATTCAGTCACCAATGTTCAGTCGAAACTGATGGTAAGTTAGTCAGTTGGCCTGCTATTTACGTACTTGGGGACTCCAGAGTTAGCTTCAGTCAGTTCAGCAATCTTTTATTCTTGTTTAGTAAAGTGGATCTAAATGGCTCATATTGAAGAAATTCTGCAATTCTCCAAATTTTCCTTTATCTCCAGTTCTCAAAATTTCCCAGTGAAGAAGTTGTTCTTCATCACATTCGTTGTGGCTCAAAAGGAGTTTTGCGTTTCTCATAATTGTGTTCATATTCAATTCTCCGAATTCCATAGTAAAGCAGTTGTTCTTTATCACATTTGTTGTGTCTTTCCTTGGCTTGATTTTATATCCAAGATTTTGTTTATCTTGGCCCATCTATTGCCAACAACAAGCTTGTTGTTAATTATCAGCCACTCAGCAGTTTGTAAATTTTCTATTCTTGAAGATATAATAATGATTTTGAATTTTGCAAAACAACTAATGACTGAACTCATGGATCCTAGGTTGTGGGAGGAGATCCTCTTTTAAAGCTTTTGGCAGTTGATTTTTTCAAGGATGAAAATAACCTCGACAGTATTGCACTGCATCCAAATTGTCTTGTTCAGGTAAAAATCTTCAACAAATATATATAATTCTGCAGCAAAAATACATTATATGTTTTTCATTATTACTCTTTATGTAAATATATTGATGATGTGTGTCGGCGATGTCTTTTCTTTGGCATTTTTCATTTTCATGTGCACTTTAGAGTTGGATTAATCCTCTGTAGTAATTACCTTCAGTCTTCAGTCTTAGGATCCTGAAAATGTTGGTTGGTTTCTCCTAGATTTCACAAGCTTATATTGCATTGCCTATAGAAGAGAAATTTTCTTACCTTCGACCTGGCCTCCTTTGAATTATGGAAAACATCAAATGTTGGTGGGTTTCTGTTGACATTAGTAATATATGTAAGGGGTTATGTGTAAGTTGTGTAGGGCCTATATAAGCCCAAGAAATCTCATAATAGGGTTAGGGTTTGTATTAACAACTTGGTATCAGAGCCATCCTCTAAACCCTAGCCGCCGCCCTCCTCCTTTCAACCCCGCTCACCGGGCGCCCCTGCAAGACACCCAGTCTGCCGACCCCGCCCGCCCCCCTCTAGCAAGATCCCCCAGTCTCCGCGCACCCCGCCAGAAGTCCACGAACCCTCTCTGCCTTCGCCAGGATTAAGAACAGCCCCCACCCGGTGCGAGATTCCAGTGCCCGACCCCCCTCGCCTGCACAGACCCCCAGCTTCCCGAGCACGCCCCCCATGCCAGACTCCTGAAGTCCGAGCCCCCCTGCAGACCCCCAGTCCCGACCCCCCCTGCGCAGACCCCCTGATCTCCGACCCACCCCTTCCCCTGATTTCTTTACGCCTGCCCCAAATCATACGCCCCTAGTCCGCCGGTCAGCCACCTCAAACCCCCCCGCTTCACCATGCTGGACCTCGAGTTTGGCATTGGTTCCCTCGACTCAGTCCTCGAACTGATGACAGGAAGAGTATATATCTCACATTGATGAGATATATAACTGTTTTGGATTCTAGTTTCCTCTGAGAAACGAGAATTTGTTGAAAGATCTTATTCTTATTGTGCAGCAGAAGTGCTGCCGAAATTTCACTGCGCACAACAAGGGTTTGAAGAACAGGTGTTGGATCTGAAGCTTGATCGATGGAGGAGATCATCAAGAAGTTGAACCCTGCGGAGGTGTCAACTTTGATGAAGTTGATGAAGTTGTCGGCTGATGAAAGCACGACAAGACCATCGAAGAAGTTGGAGCTTCCGACCATCGACCTGAAGCTTGATGGACCAAGTACCTACCTGAGTTGGTCCCGACGGGTGAGATACACCCTTGCAGGGAGGAACCTGGAGGGTTACTTGACCGGAGAGAAGACAGAACCGGATGAGGACTCGGGAGGACGAGATGAGTGGAAGTCCACTCATATGTTGGTGTACATCTGGCTTCTCAACTCACTGGTCCCGACGATCGCCGCCACGGTGGATGGCATTGAGAAGGTGAAGGATGTCTGGGAGAAGTTGAGGAGAACATATGATGGAGTGGGGAATAACCTGAGGGTGTTCCAGATTAAAGGAGAGATTGACGCCACAGTCCAGGGAGAGAGGACTGTACAAGAACATGCTACAGAGCTGGAGCGTCTGTGGCAGGATTATGACCATTTTTCCCCCCGGGCAAGCTGCAAGGACCCAGGATGTAAAGAGCGGGAGGCCTTTCTACAGGAGAGGACTATGGTGTTTCTTAAGGGATTGACATCAGAGTTCGCTCAGCGAATTGCATTACTGCTAGCTCAGCCGAAAATTCCCTCGCTTGAGGAGGCTGTCTCGGCTATGATCCAGGAGGAGACTCGCATTAAGCTGCAGGCGGGGACAGGTGGACTTCCTGTGGTGAAGTCAGCTTTCGCAGTATCTAACAATAATGGATCCAGGGGAGAGACTCGGCAGTGCTACAACTGCGGTGAAGTGGGTCATTCCAGGGGAGAGACTCGGCAGTGCTACAACTGCGGTGAAGTGGGTCATCTAAGGCATGCTTGCACCAAATCATCCAAGGAAGGAGATTTGGGTGGACGTGGACAGTTCGGAGGGCGTGGTCGTGGCCGTGGGGGTCGACGAGGTGGAAGGGGAGCAGGCAACCGGGCAAATCTGATGATAGCAGAAGGAGGAGAAGAAGCTGAGGTGATCTTCACTGAGGAGGATCAGGCGCTCCTGGCGATACTCAGGAGGAAGCAACAAGTAGCAGGGGATGGAGATAGGAGGAGTGAGACAGAGGAGGCATCCACATCATTCTTCGCCAGAGGCAACACTGCTACCTATGCTCATCCGACCAAAGGTACTGATGACATACATGCTCTTGCTTCCATATCTTCCGACAAATCATCAGAATGGATAGTCGACTCCGGTGCGTCTCGACATGTGACAGGTAATGCTAGTGAGTTCTCATCATACACTCACCTAGCATCGCCTGATAGTATTCAAACAGCTGATGGTACATTTCAGCCGGTGGTTGGTAAGGGTACAGTCGATTGTACTGGTTCTGTAACTTTGTCCAATGTTTTGCATGCTCCTTCATTTCCAGTCAATCTTTTGTCCATTAGTTCTATCATCCTCCAACTAAAATGCATCGTCTCTTTTGATATTCCCAAGGTAATCTTCCAGGAGAAGGGGACAGGGCGGAGACTTGGGACTAGCACATGGCGTAGTGGACTGTGGTATCTGGATCGTGAAGGGCTGGATTCAGCATTGGTGTCAGTCATAGAGGAAGCGGAGTAGGATCTAAAATGAGTGCTGAAAATGAGTTAATGCTCCATCACCAGCGTTTGGGACACTCATCCTTTAGTGTTTTAGGTAGATTGTATCCTTCTTTATTTGAGAAAGCAAATAAACAGAAACTTGTGTGTGATGCATGTGAGTTTGGAAAGCTTACTAGAAGCTCTTATGTTAGTTCTGATCATAGAAGTTCTCATGCATTTGACCTGGTACATTCAGATGTTTGGGGGCCTTGTTCCACAAGTTCTATGAATGGATACAAGTATTTTGTTACATTTATTGATTGCTTCTCTCGTGTTACTTGGTTATACCTGATGAAGAATAAGAGTGATGTGTTTGGGTGCTTCCAAAGTGTCCATACACACCTGCTCAAAATGGAGTAGCGGAAAGAAAGAATAGACATCTTTTAGAGGTTGCTAGAAGTATGATGATCTCTATGAATGTCCCAGAAACATTATGGGGACAAGCAGTGTTGACCGCGGCAGCACTAATCAACAGAATGCCCTCGAGAGTGCTGGATTGGAAGTCTCCGTGTGAGTTGTTGAAGGGAGATAATGGTGGGCTTCTTCCACTCAAGGTGTTTGGCTGTGTGTGCTTTGTGAAAGACAACAGGCCATCAGTCGGGAAGCTTGCCCCTAGAGCGGTGAAATGTATTTTTGTGGGATATTCTGCTACTCAGAAGGGCTATGTTTGCTGGAGCCCGGTGGAGAAAAGGTTGTTTGTGAGTATGGATGTGCACTTTCGAGAACTCGAGCCATATTACACCCGGAAGGTAACTTCATCCGTTGATAACTCGCCTAATACTGGAAGTATGCGGCGAGAGGAGGAGAATGGTGAGAGATTGGTGAATGTGGAGAAATCAATGTCTGAGAATGGTGAGAGATCGGAAAAATCAATTTTTGTAACGATTCCTTGGGAAGGAGACTTGGTTGAGGAGGAGCAAGAGAATGAAGATGAAGAGGAGATTGAGACAAGAGGTGTTAGGCCAACGGCTCAGGGAGAACTACTTACCTATAGTAGGAAGGGGAAACAAATTGCGGGAACAGTACCAACAGTACCTACAGTGCTACTGGTGCCAAGTCCCTTGCCAACGCCTGCCCCGACTCCTGAGACACCTACACCACCACAAGATTCTTCTCAAGGTGACTCCATCTCTCTTCCTATTCCTCCCACACCAATAACTGTACGGAGGACTACTCGCAGTAATGCGGGAAATCCTCCCGATAGATATGGTTGGGATCTTGCTCAGTTTGTATCATATTCTAACATCCACCCTACTCATGGAGCATTCATTGCATCATTGGACTCTGTTACTATACCTAACAATTGGCAGGTTGCAAAGAAGGACCAGAAATGGAAAGCTGCTATGCACGAAGAGCTAAGGGCCCTTGAGAAGAACCGCACTTGGGAGTTAGTAAAACTACCAAAAGGGAAGAGAGCAGTTGGATGCAAGTGGGTCTTCACTGTGAAGCAGAATCCAGATGGACAGGTTGAGCGCTACAAAGCTCGTCTGGTGGCAAAAGGATATAGTCAGACATATGGCATCGACTACGATGAGACTTTTGCACCGGTGGCAAAGATGAGCACTGTTCGGACCTTAATCTCTCTGACAGTAAATGATGGAGATCTGGTGGAAGAGGTATACATGGAAATTCCGCCAGGATTCAACACAGAACAGACAGTGGGCAAGGTCTGCAGATTGAAGAAGTCTCTATATGGCCTGAAACAATCTCCTCGTGCTTGGTTCGACAGATTTAGGCGGGCTATGATAGGTATGGGATACCGGCAGATTAACGCTGATCATACCGTGTTCTTCCGACGAAATGAAGGCCACATTACCATGCTTGCGGTATATGTGGATGATATGATTATTACCGGGGATGATGAGAAGGAGATTGCCCAACTCAAAGTGAGACTGGGTAAGGAGTTCGAGGTGAAAGATCTTGGCTTGCTTCGATACTTTCTTGGAATAGAAATAGCTCGCGGAGCGGAGGGGATTGTCTTATCCCAGAGAAAGTATGCACTGGATCTTCTTAAAGAGACAGGGATGTTAGGGTGTAAACCTGCAACTACACCGATCGACCAGAAGTTCAAGCTGGGTGCTGAGGTCGGAGAACCAGTTGATCGTGACAGATACCAAAGGCTGGTAGGGAGGTTGATCTATCTGAGTCACACGTCCCGATATCTCTTTTGCAGTGAGCGTGGTGAGCCGCTACATGCATGATCCAAGGAAGGGTCATATGGACGCTGTGTACCAGATTCTAAGGTATTTGAAGAATGCCCCCGGAAAAGGGCTAATCTTC